TTGGGGTCTACCGGCTCCGTTACTCGTGTCGCGTCAGCCTCATAGCAGTGGGAGACAGTTCGTTGCGGTTTCTTCTGATGGGCCGACAGTCTGACATGTTACACTGCTAGCAGTGATGAGAACTCGATGTTTTCCCGGGTTGATAGTGCAGCTGAGGATAAGCGTAGTCAGAGTTTGAAATTGAATATTTTAATATTTCTTATTGTAACTGTACTTGTCTTTATCTTTTTTTTTTTTTTTGTTTGATACTCACGAGAGTGTGAAAACCGTATGTCATCTTTTGGAAGTAATCTGTGATAATTTTATGCTTCTGCGTTATATGTTTATGTACTACCAATAATCTATTCTGAATAAGCTGCCCCCAAACAGTTTTACCATATGGGCAGGAATTTGTTGGATTATTATATGTCTATATAAACATGAATTCTAGAGTTTGTTTAATTAGCATAGCTGCTCAACCATTAGGCTTGTGAGTGAAGAGGTTTTGTTTGTTTTTGATTCTGGAGTTAACCTCAAATTCCAACGAAAATGCAATTTTATTTACTGAAATCAATTAGAGATTACAACCAAAGACATTCGAAACTAGGAAATAGCAAAAAATCACTACACAAACCCAACTTGGGCTTAGGTCGAGGGTGGTGGCGCTGCGGTTTATGGAGAAATAGCAAGTATGGAGGGTTGGATGGTCGGAAGAAGCGATGGTTGGTTGTTGGATGGCTGGAAGGTGGGTGACAGAAGGGTATGGTGAGGTGGCTGCAGCTGGGAAGTGGTTGGCAGGGTGTTGGAAGGGATGGGGAGGCTCATGACAACAAGATGGCTGGAAGGGGGTGGCAGCAAGGTCGCAGGTGGCCGGAAGGGATGGCAGCAAGATGGAAGTGGTTAGGTGGTTGACGGTTGTAGGAAAATAGCAAAAGGGCCTGGTGGTTGAAGCATACACAGTGACAACGATAGCGGAGGGAGGCTGGACTAGTTGGTTTTGCTGAGGGACTGGTCCAGTAGGGAGGTTGGACCGGTCGACTGCTATTGAGCTGGATATACGACCACTTTCCCCCCGCATCTTACCTATCTTATTATAAATATGTTGTTTATTGTTTTAGGGTTCAGTTTTAATCTTTGCATTATTGAAAATGTGCATGTTGCATTAATAATAAAAAGAAAGATATAAGTAAGGGTCAATGACCAAATCAAAAAACAAACTATCTCCGCGAACAAAAACAAAAAATGGGTGATTTTCATCTAAGCTAACAAAATAGAACTTTCTTGTGAGGCTGAGCTGCCTTGTTGTATGATCTAGTGGTATGAGAGGAGCACGTGCTTGAGGTTAGTCAATAAAGCCAACTTTGATCCTAGGAGGAATTGTTGTTGCCAAGTCCTTTCCTTCATAGAATGACGAAAGAAATCCATAACATTAAGATTGTCTCCTTCCACAATAATACCATTGCATTCAGTTATCCACGCTGAAAAATAAATTGGATATGGAGAACTGCTGCCAATAAATATTTGCCTGTTTTGTTACCAACAATAATCCCAACACTGCCAAAGTCCTGAGGGAAGATGGGCTCCAGCAACATTAAACTTTATCCATCTCACGGGACCAGGGGGTACGAGTATCCGAGGGCAGGTAGTGCTCTCCAGCTGTATCCTGCTTTTAGGTGGTGAGTACCTCAACCTGATTCTCTCACGCAACCCTCCCTCTCTCCCTGTTTTCTGCTTCCAGCTGCCGGTCTCTTCCCTGTTTCCCTATTTCTTGCTCTCGTTGCCGGTCTCTCTTCGCCATCCCTGTTTCATGGTTGCTGTGACGCTGCCGCCGCAAACGCCACCTGCATCTTTCTGTCTTACTGCCGCCTATCCCCTGCTTCCTACCTAGCCACATGCTCCTTGCCACCCCTCTTTTGGGCTGCAAGTCTTTTCCTGCACCACCCTCGGACAGCAAGCCCCTCCTCTCCCAGCAGAGTATTGATAGTTTGTTTGCGTTTTCTGTTTTTGTTCGAGTCTTGATTGTATTTAGCTGTTTGGAGTAATAACATTTGTTTTTCTAGCGAATTGATGGCTAACTCCGGTACAAAGTAAAGGAGTTTTTGTTAGGTTTAAGTAAATTAATATATAAATCTTTATATATTATAGTTACACATGTAACTTCTGTACTTCTAAGCCCCCAAAAACTGCTTAAATACCTCAATTACCTCTTTAGATTCTTCCAAATCTTCTACAGCAATTACAAATTCAACTAGCTGAAACTCACCGGTAAGATGAGAGTATTTAGGGTTTAAAATGATTATAGATAAATTAATAGATATGTAGTTATATAATTTAACTAATCTAAAAATATTAGCTCTTCTCCCCTTTTTTCTTTTTTTTTTCTTTTCTCTCCGCTTGCCTAGATCGCTAACCAGGTTGGGTCACGGGAGAGAGTTGGCTTAAACAGATACATATTTATATACGTTGACATATTGAAGAGTATATTTATTTTACCAAAATGTAAATAATATAAGCTAATCTCAGCCCTTCATTTTCTTCGAACTGATGCACAGCTATTAAAGTGGAAAATTTTAAACTGTTAGTGGTCATTAAAGGAGGTTAGTTCAGTAGTTAACTGATTAAGTTAAATTTAATTAATTTAATAAATTAACTTTATAAATCAAATTATATTAATAATTCATGTATGATATTATATATCAATTTGATCCGTGTAAAATGTAAAATTTTATATGGTAGTTTCGCTAAATTTTAATGAATACAAAAAATAGGGTATATTTAAAAAAAAAATTTAATTTCGGATGATCAGTTTGTTTTAGTTCAGTTCTTAAGAATTTAAGATGATTCACTTTAGATACTAGAGTTATCTTTTGGAGTAACATTTAATATTGTAGTTTTTACCACAACCTTTATGAGCATACTAGCTTTAAAAAAAAGATTATTTTTTAGAGCGGTGGTTTGAGTTTCATGAACCAGTTTATGTTGAGAAGAGCTATTATTTGAGCTGCATGCTATTTGTTAGAGCGGTGGTTTGAGTTTCATGAACCAGAGAAGAGCTATTATTTGAGCTGCATGCTATTTGTTATTATTTTCCTTGAAACAAAAAACTTTGTTTTTTTTTTCTTTTAATCTTTTTTACCAAATGCTAATTTAATGCAACTTAATTACCTATTGGTTGAGTGATCTCGTTTGTAACTTTTTTTTTCTTTCCCTGAGAAAGTGGTGCTGTCTGTATGAGTTATCTTGGTTTAGTTAAAGAATATTTTTTGCAGGAAAGTTCATTAAGCATATCAAAAATCCTTCTTCCTCAAGTGTTTGAAAATATGTCAATGCATGAACTAAGAGCCCTTCTTGCTGAAAGATCATCAATGAACATATACATAAGAGGAGAATCCATGGATATAAAATCAAATGTTATTGGTCTTTTATTGGAAGGGTTTGTAAGGAATGAAGATGCCCAGCAAGAGCTCATCACATCTCCTGCAGCATTGTTGCCTTCACATTCTAATTTGTCTGTAATTAGTTCAGAATCCTCTGGTCAGTATTTTACAGTCATTAAAAACTAAGATAGCAAACTTTTTTTCTTCATCACTACATCATAGTCATTCATGTGATTACAAATAACACCTCTAAATGTGAAACTTAACTTCAAACTATGTGGCAATGGAAACGCCATATATCCTTTTATAAAATTTTAAGTCATTCTATAATCTTTGGGGTTAATCTTTCTGTCATTCTTTGAGTTAAATTGTGTGTGCAGACAATCAGGTTGATATATTCCATTGTTAAATTTTTACTTTTTCAAGTACCCGTTGAAACTATGGAGCTATAAAAACACCAGATAAATTTGGGTCAAGTACAGATAAATAAGTAATAAGCAATGTGACGCACTCAAAATTGTTTGCTTAATTACTAGATATGTTTGAGAAGTATTGGAGAATCGTTCAGTTTCTTTCATTTTAACATGTATATGATTTATAGTCTTTGGTGATCTTCTAATAGAAAATGTAGAAATAACTACAAATAGTTTCATCAGTTCCACAAATCCATGAATTGGCTGTGTTAAGGAGGGACGAGGGTGGCAGTCAAGGTGGAAGTCTTGTAGATGGCTGGCAGTCTGGTTTGAAACCAACTGAGGCAAATGACCTGGTGTTGGTTGGTGGTCTGGCTAGATGCTAATTGGGGCAAATAGGCTACCTGGTGGACTACTAGGGCGAAAGACTTGTGGGCTATTTTATAATATCTGTAAAAATTTGGCATATTCATCTATACATGTTGGTATTTTTGTGTGTGACGTGGAGCCCTACTAAACTGGGGCTGACCTAGTTGGGAAGGTTGAACTGGTCCAGGGAGGGAGGCGATGGGGCCGGGCGGCCCAATTATTTGGTTTAGGGTTGTCGCACATGGGCTCCTAGCTATCAATTATAATAAGTATGGTCTTTCTTTTGTTTAGGGTTAGTTTTTGCTGAGTTTTTTTGTCATGATAGTTGTCGGCGTCCCCTCTTTTGCTTTGTTAGGGCTGTATTTGAGGACAGGTGGTGCTCTGATTATATTCTGCTCTGAGGTGGTGATATGCTCGATCTTCACTCCCCTTTCCCTCCCCAGCGTGCTACTGCTGCTCCTGCACCCTGTCTGGCCGCTATTGTTGCCCCTCCATCCCTGACTGCTTGTTGTGTTAGGGCTATTGCCAGTTCCCCAACCTTTCGTCAACTTCCTCTCAAACCTTCCAGCTTTCACCACCAAACCCAAAAATTTGGCAGCCTCCCGATGCCAAACCCTATCAGAGGGCATCGAGAGAATGTCAGCCTTTCCAACCATCTTAAAAACTCGATGGTCAACTTTGTAAAACGCTGTTGTCTAGGAGCAAAAATACATATTTAACCCGCATTCTTAAAAAATGCAACGGGCTTTCAATGTGCCTGCAAAAGGGTCAAATCGAGAACAAACTTTTCCCTAAGTGGTATTTTACTATCCTCGAATGGTACTTAGTTCTCAAGGATGGGTACTCACATCTCTCAGGATGAGTATTTGAAAATCCTTGATTTTTTTAACATTTTCCAAACGAGTCCGCTGTCTACTTAATTCTCAAGGACAGACACTCATTGATACTAAAGTTAACTCAAACCACAAAGAAATGTAAATATTATTTCTGAAATTGTAAATAGGTTACAACAACAACTTTTCAAAATGGGAAAAAAACAAACAACAAACACAACTAAACTCTTGAGGCAAGGACTAAGTGGCGGGTTGTGGTTGGACCATAGGTAGTTGGGGTGGTTGGAGTGCTACCTTTAACACTGGAGGGTTGGAGGGGTTGAGACAGTAATACAAGAAGGCTGGTGTGGTTACAGCTGGCAGCCGGGTGGCAAACGAGATTGTGGTTGGCTGGGAACGTGGGTTGTTGCTGCAGTGATGGGCGGAAGGGGATCTCGGGAGTCGGATAGGGGGGACAGACTGGTTTAGCGGCATTGGGAAGATTGGGTGGATCGCGGGAAGGAAGCGGGGAGTAGGAACAGACAAGTAGTGGGAATTACAGCTGAGTGGAAACAGTCTAGGATGACTTACAGTGGTGGGAAATACTGGGAGGGGGTTTTATAGTGAGAAATGCTGGCTGGCAGCAGGAATCAGGGCACAGGGATTTTGGAAAGGGTATTCCCACAAGATTGAGTTATAGTCGGAGCACCCTCGAACCTTTTGAGAAGATCACCACCTCAAACGTGTTATAGCCAGAGCATCTTCTCATCATTGGATGGAGCCCTAGAAGGGAAGATTCAATGTCGATAGTTATCTTTGTCTGAAATCATTAATCAAACTCACAAAGCATGCCTTAATTCAGCAAACACACAAGTAGAGATAGAATTGGGGAGAAATAAAAATAGGAGGGGGGAATAATTACTGCCCAATGAAAAGATGGAGAAAGGCCCAGTCCAATCTCTTTCTGGACCGAATCTCTTAGCCGGTTGGGCCTTGTTCAACTTTAAATCCCCTCGTTAGTCTCCTAATGTTGGGGGGCTTCAACTTTATTTATCGAAGCTTCTGGTTTTTCCTCTGCATTCTTAGCGGCACCTGAATCCCACTAGCGACCACACTGTCTTTCAAGATACCTGAGAATTTTTCGCAGCTTACGAGTCAAACCACATCAGTGCAATTTTGTAGGAGTTTGCTACTGAACTAAATTGAGGGTCCGTTTGGGGCAGCTAATTTGGTGTGATGGCGTTTTGTAAACACACTTGGCCTTTTTGGGTAAACTGTGTTTTGGCAGCTTATGTGTTTTCAAAATGTTGAAAACAACGTTTTCACACTGCGCTTATCTAGGTGCGGTGACAACTTTCTGGTTACGGTTTAGTTTTTCGAAAAAACTAAAAATTTGTAATAGCTACTGCACCTAACTCATCGGCAAATTATTTTTAATCAGCTTATCAGCAGATTATTCAATAAGTTGCAGCTGTCCCAAACAGACCCTGAGTGCAAGCCTTGCCTCTACTGCTGAATGTTTCTAAAGTACTCCCAGGTTCAATAATAAATTGAATCTGAAGTAAGTGTAACCTTACAACTGGTGGTGGCATTGGCAATAGGGTATCGACCTTTAAATCCTGAAATGACCTCTATTGTGTCTATCCCAAGTCTGGAGCTAGTATCTAAATTACATCATGTGATCTCGGACTCCACCAAAGGAAATAGGATGACATACTTATCATCTTTAGTGAAGGAATATGTGTTTTTGAATCCGTCGTGGTGTATTCTCCGATCAAATTGTCACGCTCTCCCCAGCAAATGGTGACAGACATCCATGGGGACTTCATCGCACCACACCTGATCCTATAGCTTGCTCCTAATCAAAACTCCACTAAGCAGCTGCAATCAATGCAGAGTTTATTTTCTTTCTTTAGCCACTTCAGAAAATAGGGTCGGGAGTGCCTCTTTCGGGAGTGCCTCTGAGTCATGAGACCCAACTTTTCTACTGTCGGGAGTGCCTCTGAGTCATGAAACCCAACTTTTCTACTATCAACATAGATGTCACATTCTACTGCTCCCCCCATTGATGATAAAATTGCACCTGTTTGTTCACTGTGTAGTGGGTATAGAAGATATTATGGTAAAGCCACTACGAATCCCCCATATCCTCAGTAAGATCCGTCGAACTATAAGTGCTTCTCTTTCATCTGGTGGCAGATGGCACACCACACTCTATTCCTCGGCTTTCTCCTCATTGCTAACCTCCTCTACAGTGCCATACTCAGTAAAAGAAATGACTTGCCTTGTCGGGCAATTGGAGATAATGTGCATAAATCCGTGGCATTTGAAATATTTTTTGATGGGCATTGTAGCAGGCGTGCTACTAGATTTTTTCTCATTGGGGGTGACTCGATCCTTATCCAAAGTAGTTTTCTCCGCTCCCTGAGGTGTGCTCCTATTGGTGTCTCCGATTTTGAGAGGTTGCCTGGCTGGTGGTAGTTGTCTGCTCGACTTTTTTGGTCCCTTTACTTTTAATGCTAAGGTCCAAACGTTTCCAATTAATGAATAAGACTGCAGTTGCACCACGTTGCTAATAGTGTACTTCAAGCCTCTCAGATAACTGGCTATGGTATGCTCCCCTGGCTCGAACAAATCACATCTCATCTGCAATTGATCAAACTGCCTTGTGAACTGATCTACTGACAGGTTCCTTTGTTGCAGGTAGTGTAGCCTTAAAAACATGTTCTAGCGGTCATGGGGTAGGAGGTATTTCCTTTGCATCACTTTCTTTATCTTCTCCCATCCGATAATTTTATCATTGTTTTCTGTATTTTTCTGTCTCTGCAAGTTCTCTCACCACATAAAGTCACTTTTCTTCAACTCGATAGTAGCTAATTTGATTCTCTTATCCTTTGGCACATCCATATACCTTAAGATTTGTTCAACAAATTGCAACCAATCAATAAAGTTTACTAGATCCATACACTCATCACATTCTAGCAGATCCACTTTGATGTCGAAGTCTTTGCTCACCAAATTATATCTTATTTCTGAAATTTATGGAACGGATTTAGATACCCCTCCTTATGCCTCTAAAACTGGATTCTGAAATGTCATGGTCTTTCTTCATCGATCAAATTCTCCTTATGGAAGGGATTCAGATCTTCCTCTCTAAAACTGGATTCTGAAATGTCACGGTCTTTCTTCATCGATCAAATTCTCCTTATGGAAGGGATTCAGATCTTCCTCTCTTTCTCCGCATCGACTCTCCAGATCTCGGTTAAGGGTAACCTCTCATTGGGTCATCTCATCAATCTTCACAAGCCTCTGCTGAATGCGACGAAGCTCTCGTCGTTTCTCTTCTTGGGTAAGCTCGGACATATATCTTCTTGGTGACATGGTTAGGGTCTGGGATTTGTAAAAGTGTAAATGGTAATTGGTGGTAGGAAACAAATTTTTCGGTTTATAGTGGGTGCTAGGAAACCCTACAATACAATAGAATTAGGGTTAGACTAGCTCTGATATCAAATGATACCAGAATTAACTCAAACCATGAAGAAGTTTGAATATTATTATTAAAATTGAAAATGGGTTATTATGATAAATCTTCAAAACGGGAAATAAACGACAACAAACCCAACTATACACTCTGGAGGCGAGGTCTAAGTGGTGGGTTGTGGCTAGACAGTAGGTATGTGGGGTGGTTAGAGTGCTACTGTCAACACTGGATGGTTGGAGGGGCTGTAGTAGTAATAGTGGAAGGTTGGTGGGGTCGCAGCTAGCAGCAGAGTGGTAAACGAGATTGTGGTTTCCTGGGAACGTGGGTTGCAACTGCAGGGATGGGCGAAACAGGATCACTCTCTATGCCTCCTCAGCCCCGCATCACTCGTGCTTTCTCAAATGAACATTTTGAAAATTTGCTCTATCACCCCATTTCATCATAGCTCTTTGAGCTTCAACGATGTTGATGGTGATGATCTAAGACAACGATGTTCTACCGTGACAATGACAGGGCAAAACAAAATAAAGTACAAATCTTTCTTTTTCTAATTTTTTGTTTTATTTATAGAACACTCGATAATACTTAAAAAGAAAGTAAAATGGGAAGCAGAGGTAAGGGGATGCAGCTTGGTCTTCAATAGAAAGGTCGTGGTGTAGGACAGAAGGACAATACAGAAGAGAAGCTCGGATGCTTGCTAGGGCAAAGGAGTTTTCACGACCCGCCCAAGGCTTGGAATTAATCATGCGAGTACAAAAGGTCGAACTGTGGGAATTAAATTTTCTATACTATAACTGACTATTAACAAATGAAAGAGCTACTAAAGAAATTAAATTAAAGCAGGATAACTAAATTTAACACATTATAGGTTCTTAGCGTCTTCTATAAATAGTCTCTTATATTGCTCATATTTTAATAAACTAATTACACCTGAAAAGTTAATTTAAAATGATTGTTAGCTAGCCAAAGTCAGTGAATACTTATACTTCTAAATTACAGAAATACAATGAAAGAGAAAATAACATGCTTGTCAGTTAAACTTTTAATAAAACAATATAAAATATTTGATATTATATGAATATAATCATTTACGATTTTTCATATTATTCAATGAGTTTACTATATCAATAACATATCTATATCATTTTATATATGCACAATCATCATAGGAGTACCATTTAAAAGTTATACCAATTAATGTGCTTTAGTATCAATATTCTTTTTCAGTTACCTGCACGAGTACCTTAGTGGGTGACTTCATTATAGTTAAACATGCACATATAAGCATATATATAATCAATAGTATTCATATGTTTAATTTATGACATACAATATTATATTTGCATCCTTAAATAATGTGTTATAATTTTTTTTCAAAAAGGTGACCTAATATTCATATATGGCCAATTAAAAGAAGAACATATAAATGAACTGAAACTTGAATTTATAGATATCAATTATTAGTAATGCAATTGATTGGCAAGAAACCAAAATATTACTATAAATTTAGGTGTAAAACGATCATAGACAATTTGTTTGCTCTTAACTTATATTACTTCTTTTAAATTATCACCTATAAAGTATAAAGTATTCAATTATTACTTTACTGAATAATTACTTTACTTAACTATGTTTTAATTTAATTATCAATTATTATTGTAATGCACTATTTTAAGATTTCAATACTTAAACTTTAAGCTTAATTATTGTAATCAATATAACTATAAATATTGTTAATTTATACAAAATATTTTAGAAATAAAATCCTAACATTTCTTTAATGTTGACACTCTTT